TTGAAAACATGTTGTTCAATAATATTATTTAAATCTAATTCAGAAATTGCAGCTATTTTGCAACCTTTTTTATATTGCCAAAATAATTATTGTTTTCTAATAAATTGTTGGTGAAATATTTTTTCAGGTTTATAGGGTTGCAAATAAGTTGAATAAGTGTTTATTAGTTAAAACCTAAACCTAGGTATTGGTGATGACGTTTTATTGTAAATACATTCGAAGTCTATGGGAAGAAGAACCACGATTCTTCCCATAGACTGATGTCACAGGAACTAGATGAATGGCCATCTGTTCCTTGTTGACTGCCATGCTGCCAGCCGCCTGGTCTGCGCATGCGAATCCTGATACAACTTTTGTTGTATAGTGGCCTTGGAATGTCATCTCGTACAATATTACGTCAGTACTTCATAGCGTCTGTTTGAAGAATAATAGTGACGTTATGGATCCGCAGTCATATCCCACCAATCTTCTTGTTCACGGTTTTCCTCTCTTCGCTCGCCGGATTTATCTCTCTCCAGTCCTCTTCATCAACAGCGGTAAAATTTTTTGCCCCCTTCAAAGTTCCCCTGTTTGATTCTGGTAACAACGTTTCGGATTTCTTTTAGAAGTTCCTTCATTATTGTATCTTTGATAACTCACTCGTTGGTTATTTTTCTTCTTGTATCTATTGACCCAGCGCTTATCTTTGGTACCGATATTTCATCGGCCGCTCCGATTTCTAGGACTTTGATTAGAGCTTCACTGCTACTTGATGGTTTTGCTAGCTCGCCATTGTTTTGTTACTTAGCTGGCGCAAGGGTATCTTATAGGTCTGAGGGATGGCCACGCAATGCTACAATCAAGCCTGTAGCCATGTCATCAGAGCTCTACCCGTTAGACATTATAGGTATAGCCAAAGATAATCCTATTCCGGAGTGATGATAACATGTAAGAGAGAGCTTAAATCTACTGCCTAGAGTTGAAGCTAAACTATAACTAACACTGCAAAAAAGGGGAAAACAGAAAAAAGGTCAAAATAAATAAAATTTAAAATAACAAACAACGATAAATAGTTTCTATGAGGTTGACTGTACAGTTAAAAACACTAATATAATTCAAAGAGGAATTTAAAATGTTCAACATCCACATTGCACAGGTCAATAGTATGTTCATTAATCAGTATATTGTGCTTGCATTGAGCTCAGTGTTGCCAAAGCTACCCCGTTCGGGGTAGATCTACCCCTTTTGAAAACAATCTCGCCCTGCTGCTCACCTCGACTAAATCTACCCCGCTCTCAATACAATGATATAACACAAAAAGAATGCTTATTGCTAATAAAAAATACTTACAAAATCAAAATTATGAGAAACAATTTATTTATTTGACCTGTATGCAACGAGTTTTTCTGTCCACGCCTATGATACATCATCATTTACAGATTCCTCCAGCATTAGCGCAAGCATAGCATTCCTAAAAAAAAAATGTATATTCTTTATTTTGGGTTTTTAGGATTTTTACAGTGTCTCCTTTGAATTTTATGTGTCCCTTGTGCCTTCAAGCAGAAAATTATGTAAAAACATTATATTTATTCACCTAACAAATGCCTATATAAATGATACTTCACGCATGTGTTAGGTACAAAATTTCACCTATATCCTATATTATTAGCATAAGTTTAGTCTACTTTATCGCACACTCTGCGGTAAAGTACTACTTTTCGCACGCTCGTAGGTAAAATTTTTGTTTCTACTCCGCACCGGTTCTATTCTACCCCGCTATCTTGCCGTAATCTGCCCCAATAAAGAAATAGCTTGTGGCAACACTGATTGAGCTGATTAGAGACCAATTAGACATATCACAATGAAACAGATTGGCATTACTTATTCGTAAATTTGTCTTAGGAACGTGAAATTTTATATAGTTAAGAAAGGAACATGATTTAAACTTGATATTATTGACCATGTAATATACAGTGTCCCCCATAATGTTTGATACATATGGGGAATTTTTTTATTTATGGGATATGGCATTTTTTCTTATGCGCGATCGATTCTGCATGTCCGATAACCTAGAAGTACATTTTGACATTGGTCACGTGATCACGGTTGTGGCGGCAAATTTAGATATGGAAATGCGAAAAGTGGGGTTAGATGGCAAAATTTCGGAAAAAGTTATATGAGAAAAGTGATAAGAACGATGTTTTAGGGCTGTCTGCGAAATTTTGAGGTAAAGCAACAAAAAATACGAAATTACTTGTTTTCCGCCATGGATCTCTTATCAAATAATATTATACAGTTTTTATTATTGAAATAGTCCAAGTACCTCAATATTTAATGTGTATTGGTAAAACAAACTTGAATTCTTCATTGGAATCATTCCATAAAAGAATTAAATAAAAATTATCGATTAGCACATGGAACTTCTCTGTAGCAATACCCTGTATCTTGACAATTAAGTAAGGTGTTTTAGAACTGTATCGAAATATTTCATAGAAAATCTCAATAACGGTTCTTTTCAATTGTTGTATCAACAGTAAGTTACTGGAAATCTCAGAAACTGTCAAGATACGGGCCATTGCTACAGAAAAGTTTCATGTGCTAGTCGAATATTTTTATTTAATCCACTAGGAATCATTCAAATAAAGAATTTAAGTTTGTTTTACCAATACACATTAAATATTGAGGACTATTTCAATAATAAAAATTGTATAATATTATGTGATAAGAGATCTATGGCGAAAAACAAGTAATTTCCTGTTCTTTATTGCTTAACCTCCAAATTTCGCAGACAGTCCTAAAACATCGGTCTAATCACTTTTTTTAAATAACTTTTTCCGAAATTTTGCCATCTAACCCTACTTTTCGCGTTTCCATATCTCAATTTTCGAATTTGCCGCCACAACAGTGATCACGTGACCAATGTCAAAATGTACTTTTAGGTTATCGGACATGCAGGATCGATCGCACATAAGAAAAAATTCCATATCCTACAAATAAAGAAAATTCCCATATGTAGCGAACATTATGGGGGACACTGTATAAATAACACGCAGAATTCAGTCTACGCCTTATTTCTAGTGATTGAATATTTAAGATAATAAGCATACTTCTATAAAATACAAGATGGGGATAGATGTTTCTTATGGTATAGATATCTGAGGAAACACTTTTGTAGTTTAGTACCTTTTCAATTCGATTGATGTTGCTTTCTGCCTCTGGTGACCAGATAACACTGGCATATTCAAGGTGAGTCCTAACTGACGAGTTGTACACTCTTATGACCATGTCAACATTTTTAAAATGCTTCGTAATGATCATTAAGCTTCAGGTTACTTTGAAAGCTTATACCCAGATCTTTACACTTATCCTTCTTTGCAATGGTATATTATTTATTGTATATGTATTATTTATGTAAATAATTTTTCGGGTATAGGTAATGACTAGACACTTATTGATATTAAGTTGCATTTTGTGGTTCAGAAACCAACCAGTTTTAGAATCCAAGTCATCTTGCAACTTTATACAAGTTTAACATTGAGAGGATATATGTATTTATTCAAAAGCTATAAAATATAATAAATTATTTGCCCTCAGTCTAATTTGAAAGTTATTTCGCTTGATCGTCGGCAAACGCCAAAATATCATTATTTCGCTTAGACTTCGGCAAATGCCAATTTATCAAAATGTTACTTTCTGGGTACCTATACAGTAATATATTTTGCAGATTGATGGAAGCCAAATGATAATCTGTGAGATAATTAATATTTTTGACGCACTTTGTGCTCAAATGGTAAATAACCGCTTTGTAAAATATCAGGGCGAATTTATTGAAAAGTTCATTTTTGCTCGATGTTGCATACCTATACCCATTTCTTCCAATTTAATATGTCTTTCTAAATTTTCTACATCTCTACTAATTGAATTGAATAACTCCGAATTATATAATATAAGGCGGATTCCAATTCAAAAATATTGGCAACTTGAATCAACATTTTTATAGAGTATACCTACATACTATATTATACTGAATTAGAGAAAATTGTAAAAATTATTGTTCAATGTTCGTGACTCTCGTTTCAACCAATTTAAGAACATACTAGACAAAAATTGGTACACTGTGTAATCAATGTTTGGCTACTTATTTCAAATTAATGATACCTACCTATGTGTCACTTTTTTATCCGAAAATATGAAAATGTACAATATTTACCAATTGGCAAAACTGGGCAATATGCCAGGGATATTTTGTTTGCAGTAATGTCACAAACGATATGTCAGCAATGAAAAATACACCGCCTAAAGAATTTTGGAAAAGATCCTATCGTCAAATAAATATTTTTGAATAAAGAAAAAAAAATGGCTATTAACCCTAATATAATTTTGGTTTATTCTGATTAATAATTTTTGTAGTAAAGCCAACAAACATATTTATATACATACCTACTTCGTCATATAAACTAACAGCGTGAAATCAAAATTTGGCATATTTTTTCATTTCCATGATTACCTACATGGAAAACTATTAAATATTATGGAGGCACTTATATGCCGGTTCAAAAGATGCGCCGGACTTAAGTTGTAATTTTAGTTCGCTGCTGCACCTGTCACTAATTTATTTTCTGCCAGTAAAAATAGTGTAACAGAGAGGAATGCTTCTTTCAATTTACAAATTTAAGTCGAATATTTATTTCTAATGCAAGCTATTGAATTATATAGGATGCAGAGATTCACAACTAAAATTTCAACAAATCTGACTGACGTCCTTTTATTTATATTTAATAATTTCTTTAATACACATATTTTGGCAAGACCCCAAATTTCTCATATTTTAAACTGTTGAAAGCTATCACTCAACAAGGCCATTGTATTTTTTTCCAAAATTTATGAAACAGTCACTAAGACTAAGTATAAAACAGGCGGACGCTATTGTTGCAGTTTAAGTCGTATATGGTGTGTGGTATTTTTTTGTTTATGCTGAATTGTTTTAGTTATGTAAAACATCATTTTTTTTTTAATTTCAGGCCGAGGAATCGGTTAAAAAAACCGAAAAATCAACTCTATCTCAAAGTGACAGCTTACAACAAACTTCAAGTAGCCAGCAAACCCATAAAGAACAATACCGAACAGTCAATCTTAGTAATATACCTTTGCCCAGTACTGGTGGCCACGTAACAGGTAGGTTATCAATTTTTAATAATAAATGGTTGGTCCGTCCTATTTGAATCTCACCAAAAATATATTTATAAATAAGAAACCAATTGTTTTTGCTAGGAGCTTTATTACGATGTAAACATCCACCATTGCTGGATGACTTTTTTTAATCATCTATTTTGATTTGGCTGCCAAGCGGGTGGACATATAATATACTAAATAATCAAACTACAAACCTAACACACAACAACAACTTAATTCTTCAGTGATAATTCAGGAAAAAATTACTTAGAAAATAATGGGTCAATGCAAAATTTTCAAGCAGAAAAAAATGGTTTTGATAAAATAGTACTTACCTCGACGTTCCTTCCACAAAAATGAATGACAAAGTTTCGTAACTAGCCTGGAAAGTACTGTTGTTTTTTTTTGGACGAGTAGACAAAATTCAAGTAGGTAGTGGAATGTCTTCTTTCCGGTGATGAAAGCCCTAATTCTCCGTCCGGAATAACTTGAAGTACATGGAGATTTTGGAAACCATTGAAGATATAGGGTGGACTGAATTAAGAAAAAGCTGCGGAATCAAGTGCATGTATCTGCATATTCGTTGCTACTCCGAGTTGAAACAAGTTGATGACAGATTATTTGTAGGCACTTGATTGCCCAACTTTTTCCCTATTTGGTACACCCTGTATCTGCAATGGTTCAAATTATTCCGGACACCCTCTATATTTCCGGCAATAACCGGAACATAATATTTGGCCCTCAGTCACTACAAAAGGCCTGTACTTTTTTCTTTTAAAACTATTACTGTCCCTTAAAGACGAGGCCTGTTCAATAGGACATAACATTATTTTTCAAATGGCATTATATTGCCGGAGAGCTAGAACCGAGTAGAAGTTTATGTATAGGTGAGCACAAGTACTGCTTATGAAAGTTAAACTTAGTTAAATACCTACTTATTTATAAGTGGTGCAAAAAAAATGGCGATAATGAATAACCAGCAACATAAATTGCGAACAAGCTTTTTCCTTGGACCATATATTAATCTATAGAGTTCTGGCGATTGTTTCGTAGAATGATCTTTTCAACATTGAAAATAGAACAAAGACTAAGGAATTCCAGAGACGTTTTTTTCTGGATCTGTTATATTTAGGAACTTATCTAATGACACATTTCAAAGATCATAAAATTTGTCTCCCAAACGTTATAGACAGAGGTTGCCAATAAAATAACGACTATATCATTCAAATTGCGAAAATTTCTGAAATTATTAATATCCCGAATAAAATTTGGTCGTTCGCGTTTGACCTAATATTTACACCAAAAGCATCAAATCTTGGTATTTTTAGAAACCAGATATAATCCACCTTGAATTTGCTTAAGCGCAGCTTATAATCTAAAATGTTACACCGCGTATTTGACATTAATGATATCAAACCTTCTCATAACATGAGTGTTTTGGACATTGACGAGTCAGTGGAGTTGTGATCGCGGCCGGCGAATAGAAGACCTATAACTCACTCCTCCTGTCCTCTCCTTGTTAGTTTGATTTGAGTTGAGTATCTTCACTCCTAGTTAGAAATCAACACCTACCAACTCACTAGTGTAGTGGTTTAGATTATTCGTCATTTCCCTGAAGATATCCGCAATAAAAAATATGTTCTAAAATTTCGAAGATAATTATGTTTTCTTGGATTAACGTACCCGAAGTTCCAGAAGCAAGCTGGAACGAAGTAAGCCGAGTGTACGTTCCAAAATTAAAAAATATCACTCATTCTGAGTACGATCATCCCGAGTTTCCGGTTATATACAGGAACGTTCCGTCGATTCTAGTTGATAATAGAGTATTCGGTAGTGACTTCATTCCTCTAACGTTTCTATCTTGTTTTACTGTGAACACTCATAAAGGTAACAATATCACATTTTATAAATTGATTTGATTTTAAATGCATTGCATAAGTTTGAAATAGGCTGAAAAATATTTCTTAATAGAATCGCGATACCCCAAAATTCAATTAAGTCGGTATTTCAAGTTTACATTGATAATAATAGTGCGCAGCTGTTTGAATTTTGAAATATTAGTATGTAGTTAAGTTTTTAATAGATTTTTTGAAAAATGTATTGAAAAATAAATGCTCTAAACCTACAACTTAATGGGGCATATATTTAACTTTTGCGTTTTGAATATATTTTTTTTCTTTAACGAGACCTGTTCATAAACGAAATTACTTCCACATAAGATTCATTATCCATTTTACCTTAAGCATGAGTCATATTGAAAATAAGCTTTTTGTAATTATTATACTTCTACCAAAACAAACACACACCTGACCTATAAACGAATTCTTGTTAAAACCACGAAACATTCAACAAAATCCATAAAAATCGTTTTTTTTTATAATTAGGCATATTATGATTCTGAAAATTGATCTATTTTCTAATCATTGCAATGCGCTTTTTCAAAATGAGTCAAACATTTACTTCTAAAAGGAAAAAGAAATAGTCCTAACTAAACCTGGCACAATCTTTTTACAAATTTCACCACTTTTTGCACATTACCCAAAATTTTGACAAATGACAAGTTGATGACTAATTATTTTTTTTTCTTTGTAAATTTGAAGAGCGATATTCTGACCATTCATAAGAAATAGTATAATTTTTTCTATTTTAGGTTTTTTTTTATTGGTAAATTTATAATTTATTAGTGTCATAGCGAGTTACTAATTAAAAGCAAATTTGACTTTAGAAGCTGAAATTTCAATTAATTGATAATACGATTGAATAAATTGAGGTACAGCAAAGATTTAAAATTCTGGGTCATCTCCTAAAATTTAGGTGAACTATTATCATCATGCTGGATATACTTGCCGCTGCAGATATTGCAATATGAAGTTCGCGTACAAACGAGAGTTTACCTACTTATAAGTCTTATTTTAAATTTGCTGATGAAACCCCTTACACAATTTTATATACAGGGTGTTTCACGAACATCGAAACAGAGGCGTTTTAGGGTATTTTAAGGTCGATTTAAAAAAAAAAAACGCTCGGACACGTCAATTTTGTATTCAAGAGGGAAGCTTTTTGACCCCATCGGTATTTCGATAGGGTGCACCCCCTGGGTGGGGTGACTCTGGCCCCTCTTTTTTAGATAGGGAAGATGGGTCGAGCGGTACCTTGTTTCAAAGGTATTTTAATTTTCGTTACAACTGCGTATTTTTTTTGAAAATTGAATGATTAGTTCTCAAGATATTCACTGTCAAATTTGCCATGGGCTAAGTAAAAAAAAAATTCTGGCCCTGTTATTCTCAAACTAACACTTTCCTGACTTTCCTCTCGGACACGTCAATTTCCATTTTTTCAGATGCACACAAAAAATGAAAATTGACGTGTCCGAGAGGAAAGTCAAGAAACTGTTAATTTGAGAATAGCAAGGCCAGAAGATTGTTTCTTATTTAGCCCATGGCAACTTTCACAGTGAATATCTTGAGAACTAATCATTCGATTTTCAAAAAAAAAAACGCAGTTGTAACGAGAATCAAAATACCTTCAACGCAAGGTACCGATCGACCCATCTTCCCTATCTTAATAAGAGTGTTAAAAGTCAACCCACCCAGGGTGTGCGCCCTAGCCAAATACCCATGGGGTTAAAAAGTTTCCCCTTGAATACAAAAATGATGTGTCTGAGCGTTATTTCTTAAATCGATCTTAAAATAACCTAGAACGCCTCTGTTTCGATGTTCGTGAAACACACTGTATAATAAAATAATTAGTTTAGGTACCTATACGTACAGGGTGTTTCCGAAAGGGTGTTACAAACTTGAAGGGCAGATAGTATTCATGAAAATAATTAAAAAAGCTCCCATGAATATAGGTCCGGAAACGCTTTGTTACCAAGATACAGGGTGTTAAGTTTTTCAAAAAAAAAAAATAGCTTTTTATTAATAGCCCAAAAGAGCTTTAGCCGATTTCAATTAAATTTTCACGGTTTATTTCAACCATTATCAGACATCTACTGGACCAATTAGATTTGATCCAGAATTTCCAGGGCCGTACCCAGCGACCAAGTCAATTGTTTTTGTGTAGAAAAAATATCACTCTGTAGTTTTTCTACGATTTTTATTGATTATTCAGATAGACACACTGAAAATACAAACATTTTTGTCTTTTCAATTATCTCGCTTCGTTTTCGCGAAAAAATTACAATACCATACCTCGGAACGTCTCTGAACTCCATAAGGAAAGATAAAAATTTATAGAAATTGAGGTACATCACCCATTCATTGAGTGACAAAGACATAAATTCCATTTGAGGTTTTTTTTTGTTTTGTTTTCATAAATGAACAAACTGCGATAAATTTTTAATCAATTCCTATTTTCTTATGGAGTTCAGAGACGTGCCGAGGTATGGTATTGTAATTTTTCCGCGAAAACCAAGTGAGATACTTGAAAAAGCGAAAAGACAATAATGTTGTATTTTTAGTGGGTTTATCTGAATAATTGATAAAAATCGTACAAAAACTACAGGGTGATATTTTTTTCTGCAAAAAAGCAACCGACTTGGTCGCTGGGTAAGCGCCTGGAAATTCTGGAACAAATCTAATTGTTCCAGTAGATGTCTGATAATGGTTTAAATAAACCGTGAAAATTTCATTGAAATCGGCCAAAGCTCTTTTGGGTTATTAATAAAAAACTAATTTTTTTTGAAAAACTTAGCACCCTGTATCTTGCAAACAACGCGTTTCCAGACCTATATATAAAGGAACTTTTTTAATTATTTTCATAAATACTATCTGCCCTTGAAGTTTGTAACACCCTTTTGGAAACACCCTGTATAACGAAAAGACAATGACAAGCAAGGAATAATAATTTTTCGATTGAAAATTCAGAAAACTAGCTCTAACTAAATGGGTATCAAATATCGCACCATTTTTTATTCAGTTAGGTACTTTTCCCATATTCTTGGCAATCATCTCAGGAATTTCATTTAAATGTCTCCTAAGCTCCTGAACGTTTCGGAATTCTGG